TCGCTTTCTTTCAACATAACGATGCGGCTTGTGACTCGGTTGTTGGGTCTTCGTGCTTCCTTTTCTTTGTCTTCGTAGTCGCTACGGCTTTGTTTGGTGACGCATCCGGCTTCGGTGAGCATGTCGTAAGTTTCCCACAGTAGCTCTCCGACGGCGACGTTGTTGGACATCTTGAGCTGGACTGACTGTGCATCGTAGAATAACTTGGTAAGTTTTTCATGGACTTCGCGAGCGTTTGGAGGGGGGTTTGCTTGCGCAATGGCCCTTTTTATTTCCTCGAAAGTAACAGTGATATCGGAAGCTGAATGTAATAGAAAGGTCGTATCATCGTAAACACTATCGAGCCTTCTTTGGATCTCTGACTCCTCGAACATTGAGCGTGTTCGCATGTTCAAATCAGTGAACAGCTTCTTGGTAGCTTCGCGTGGATTCATTCTGCAATGAATGGTAGTTAGTTTTTCTCGTACTGAATCATTTTTTGAATCAATTCCTTGATATATAAGATTGATATCATATTCTTGAGTTGAATAAGGATAATTTCGCCTTGTATTTCTTTGTGGTCTGCTTTGTGTTTGGTCATGTTGTGGCGAGTTGTCTATGTCTACGAGTTTGGTTGACTCGTCTGCTGCGAGTGGTGTTCTTCTTGTTCGGTGAGGCTCCTCCTCCTGATTGAGTTCTAGCGGTATTAGTAGGTTTACTGGCCTCTTGGTCGTGTTTCTGTTGGTCATTCGTAGTTCCACTTGGCGGACTTCTCCGTCGTTTGATGGTAGAAGTTTGGTGATTCTTGCAATTCTCCATGCATTCCTTGGGAGGAATGGATCGTGAAGTAACACCACTTGGCCTTCCTTTGGTTTCTTTGGGGAGCTTCTACCCTGGTCTAAGTGCGTGCGGTGTTGTTCTCTCAAAGATGTTAGGTAGGCGTTGTTCCAGAGTTTCCAGAATTGCTCCGTGACTTCAAACGACGTTTGGAGGGCTTTCTGAGTCTGCTTTTTGGTTCGGAGTTGGAATGCTTCGTCTGGGGGTAGGAAGTTGGGATCATCGGTATCGTCGTTATCGTTTATCGTAGGGTACGAGAGAGTAATATCCTTCTGGATGAAGTCGATAGGACGTATGAAGCTTATCTCGTCCATACCTTCCTCTTGGTACGTGAGGGGCCGTTCATTTAGGCATCCTTCTATTTCCGTTAAGATCGGTTCTCAGTGAATCTTCGTCTAGTATCTTTCTTCCTATGGCTTTCTTGAGTGATGTTTTGACGTCCTTGATTAAGCGTTCGTAAAATCCTCCCTGCCATGGAGCGTGCGGAGTGATTTTTATCCATTTGATGCCAGCGTTGGCCATAAATGTATCCACTGTTTCTTCTGCTTGTGGGATACCGTCGTCGTTCGTCATGATTTTTTCTGCTAGCAAAAATGTAGGTGCGTTGTCGCAAGTGATCGAGTTGGGTACTCCTCTCCTTGACATGAAACGTCGAGTTGCATTAATAAACGAAATTGTGGTATTGTCCTTGATGAGCTCTATGTGGATCAACCGTGTCGTTGCACAGGTAAAAATACACCCATACATTTTCGTCTGAAATCCGGTCGTGTTTCGGCTCTTCAAGGGTCCAAACAGGTCAAGTCCAACTTCTTGAAAGGGTCGTGAACGTACGACTCGTCTGCGAGGTAGTTCTGCCAAGGGTGGGTATCTGAATGGTAAATGTTGGTTTTCTGGCATTCCACGCATCTTGCAATTACCTTTTTGGCTTGTTGACGAAGTTTTGGAATCCAGTATTTTTGACGAACTTCCAGCATTGTATGAGCGGTTGATCGGTGCAGCCTTCCGTGCGCCTCCTGTATTATCAGTTGGGCTAGCGTGCTATTCGGGGCAATGAAGATTGGATTCTTCGCGTCTTCTGGTAGGAAGCTGTTGCCTAGCCGTCCATAACATCTCCAGATTCCTTTTTCGTCTTGGTGCATGTTGAGCTTTCTTTGAAAGCTCGGTATTGCTTGTTTGTTGATTTGATTTTGGTGGAGTTTGACTATCCATCCCCACGCGTTTTTGAGCGTACTTGATGTGATGGTGTGCGGATCATTGTCTTCTTCATAGATGGTGAGTGCTTTCGCTACCTTATCTTTTTTGTCGGGTGGTAGATTACGCGACACCTTTTGGAGGAACTTGAGGACTCTGGCTACCGTTCGTCTCAACTTTATCGTTGAACCAAATCGCGACACGTCGATGATTGTGTTCTCTGGTGCAGGCGTTGTGATTTGAAGGACTTCTATTGGCGGAGGGGTGTATTGGAAGAGTTTCGTTTCGGTTGGCCAATTATCCTCTTCCTCCTTCAGAAATGTTGGTCCTTTCCACCAGAAGTGGTCTCTCAGTTGTTCTGCGTTCAATCCTCGTGTAGCGCAATCCGCTGGATTCCATTTCGTGTTCACATATCCAAAGTACACTTTTACTCCCTCAGCTTGTAGTTTTTCGGCAATCCGTCTTATCTCTTTGACTCTGTTCGCGACAAGTACTCCAACAGTTTTGGATTCTCCTACTGTCTTCAGCCAGCTAAGGGCTATCTCTGAGTCCGTCAAGATGTAGACTGCTTTTACTGAGGTTATCTTGTTAAGCTCTTCGTAGGTGGATAGCGTGAGTCGTGCTGCTATCGTGAGTGCATTAATTTCCAGCTTAGGTATGGTGTGTGTTGTTTTCAACGACGGCAGCTTCGTTTTTGCTTGAATAAGCCAGTGTTCTTTCCCTTTCTTGATATACGTGCAGGCTGCCATAACTCGTATATTGGCATCGCTGAATGCGATGATCTGGTGTTCCTCTCTTTTGCTTGCCAGTTGTCTGGGAATTTCTTTGTAGAATCCTTGCATTGATGTTAGTAACGTCTGCCAAGTTGCTTGGTCTTGTTCCAGCAGAATGTCGTCCCATCTATACGACTTGGTCCACAGTGACTGGAAAAATTGCTTACAACCGATCATCAGTGGGGCAATCCATCCTAGAGGATCGTACACTGATGCGATAGTGTGTAGCACCGTCCTTTTTGTGATTGCTTCTGAAGGTTGCACATTGCATTTGGCGACCAGTGTGTCATTCGTAGTGTTCCAGTTGATTCCCAGAACTTTGGTCGATGTTGATGTACTGATGTCTTTATTGTCGAATCGTGCCCTTACGTCGGCGTCGTTGGATACGAACTCTCGCATGTTCATGTTGAGCTCGTTAAAGATATTCTTAGCTTCTCTGTATTGTTGGTATGCTTCCTTTCTTGTTTCGGCGGTTAAGAGTAGATTGTCGACGTATAGGTTATCTTTTATCTCTTGAGTGACTTTGGGATCGTGTTTGGATGTCTCCAAGTGAAAACCGATCGTCGCAGCGAGTAGGAATGGTGATGAGTTTAAGCCGAATGTAACTCGCGTAAATCGGTACGTGATAATGTTGTTCTCTTCGACCGGTTTTGACAAGTCTTTTATCCACAGGAAGCGTGTTGCGTCACGGTCCTTTTCTTGTAGTCGCACTTGTAAGAATGCTTTTTCTATATCGGCTGCCATTGCAATTTTCCCAACGCGGAAACGTATGAGCATACCCGTCAAATTCGGCAATATCAATGGGCCTTGGTGAAGGACCTCGTTGAGTGATGGTTCGCCGGAATAGTGAGCCGATGCATCAAAAACGATCCTTCTCGGAGTAGTCTTCTTTTCCGGTGTGACGACAACTTGATACGCCAAATAGTGAACGATGACATCGCGAGGCGTCGTTCTTCTCATTCCCGGTGTAACTTCTTCTATAATGCCTTTTTGCAATTGGTCGTCGAATGTTTTTTGAAACTCGTGGAGGAGGTGCGGTTGATGGCTATATTGTCTCAGAAGGCTTTTCAGCCTCGCTATCGCTATGCGCTTGTTATCGGGTAGGCGAGGATGTTCATCCTTCCATGGTAATCTTACGTAGTAGCCGTCATCCTTTTTTACGATTGTTTCTTTGAATCTTTTCATGACTTTCTCTTCAATAATTCGCTTTTCCATCTTTTCTGGACCGGTGTATTCATCAACTCCTGATGACTCCATACGCCAGTAGTTATCCCACGTATCGACTTCTTCGTGTACCTGTTGCACTTCAAAGTTCTCCGCTGGTTTTTGAGTAGTTTGACGTCCTGAGAGCATATGTCCGAACTTAGTGTCGATCACGTGCATTCCAGATGGTAGTTTGCATTCTTTGCCTTCCATCATCTCCCATAAGTGGTCGCATCCGAGTAAGATTTGTGTTTGACTTTGGTCTTCTGGTGATGATGACAGAGAAAGACCTCGTTGGTTGATAAATGTCAAGTCCTCTTGAGTGAACTGATGACAATTTCTTGTAGTAACAATCATTGGGCTGTCGAGCAGTTCACATGTGTGCGTTTGTCCTTGTTTATCCAGCAGGTTTACCAGTACGATGCGATGTTGGGTCTCTTTGGCTGATTCCGTACCAAATGTCTTTAGTCTCAGTGTGGTTTTTCCCTTGATAGGCAATTCCAGTTCATCGACGAGTGTCGAATCGATAAATGAAAGCTCGCTCCCCGTGTCCATTAATATGCGGACTTGTTTGGCACTCCTTGGCCCTTGTACTGTTGTGGTTCCTGTGAGGAGCAATGCACCTGTCTTTTGGGTCTTCCTGCCACTGACATGGTATACTTGGCTGTCTTCCTCTGGAACGCTGTGTCTTTCTTCCCTTTCTGAAGTAATAACATTTTGGCTGCTTTGGCGAGCTGTTCCTTGTGCTCTGAGTCTATTTTGTCTCTGTACGCCACTTGACTGAGCTTGATTTCTTGGTAACGGTGGGTTTGTCGGCTGTGGTGTTCTTTCCTGTGCGGAGATTGGTCTGTGCCGAGTCTGCTGGCTGGAGAAACATAATGACGAATGATGTTTGCGCCCACATTTAAAGCATCCTGGACTCCTACAGTCGTCGGTCTTGTGGTTTGGTCTCGCACAGTTATGACACAACTGGTTCCTTGTCAAAAATGCTGCGCGTTCCTGGATTGGTACTGTCCTGCAATCTCTTGAGCGATGGTTGTTTCTCTTACAGTATATGCATGTTCCTATCGGGCGCTTGGTTGTAACGTTGACTTGAGTGGTTTGCTGGCTTTTCCTTATTGAGTCTTGAGATCGCTCAATTCTTTCCTTTGTATCAATGATGACCGAGAGATGTTGACGTAATGTCTGCCAGGTCCATTGGTTGATATCCTCTAAAGTCGCGCTTTTCTAGCGCTTTAGTTTGTATGTCCGCATTGAATTTTCTCAATACCATGTTTAAAATCAAGCGGTGGTTAATATCCTGGCCTTTTGTAGATAACTGCATCAACAGTGCTGTAATCCGTTCTAGTAAATTGGCTTGTTGCCTTGTGCTGGCTCCCTCGGCACGAATTTGTTCAAGGTGTGCTAGTAGTTCTTCGATTATGAGGCTGTCCGAGCCATATTTCTTCTTCAAAAAATCGATGACGATCTGGTAGTTTTCTTCGATCATTTCGAATTGTGCTGCTGTTTGTCGGGCTTCTCCGACTAGCGCCTGTAGCAAATAATTGAACTTCATCATTTGACTAAGAGGCTGATCATCGATGCTTGACTTGAATGTAGCCCAAAAGGAATCCCATTCTTGTCGTTTTCCACTGAATTTAGGCAGCTGTAGACGTGGTAAGAACGCTTGAACTTGAACTGGTATTGACGATGCAGGTGAACTCTGTCTTGATTCTCTCGACGACACTGCTAGGACTTCATTGGTCCCATCTCCGTGGTTCCGCCTTACGGATGTCCGTTGTAGATTTTCCAGCGTATTTTCGACTTCTACTTCCTTCTCTCTCATCTTGACGATCGTTGCTTCGGCTGACGTGATTGCCTCCCAAGCCGCCTCTGTATAAGTTCCGTACGCATCTTCTTCTTGCGCCTGTTGTTCCTGTTCCATTCTGTTGAAGGCGTCGTCGAAGCTAGCTACTGCATTTTCTAGAGACGACTTCGCGGCTTGTATATTCTGCAAGCGTTGTTTCAGTGTCCTTTTCTTTGCTATAAGATGATCGATAGTCTCTTCTTCATCATCGAGCCTGGGCGGGATGTAAGTTGTCCAGTGCTGGGAGTCTCGTAGTAGTTCCTCTAGGGTTTTCCCTAGTTTTGTCAAGCGCGTTTTGAATGGTTTGAGTGTGGGCGACATTTGTGTTATTGCTATTATTATTTTTTTTCCTCAGTTGTTTATGTAGAAATTTTCGAATGAATTAAAAAAGGTCGACCCAATGTAGCAACGTTGAAAGTAAAGAAGTTGTCGATTCAAAGTAGAAACGTGGAAAAACAGCAGCCAATAACGTAGAAATGCGAATAATTGCTCACTTTTGATGACGAGACTGCTTCGTAGATCGGTCGGATTGGATCGTAGAAAACCAGCGAACAATATTGCGCTCCAAATTCGTAGAAACTCAGCGGATAATATTCAGCGCTTCAAATCGTGGCACCTTGAACAGTAGAAATGCGTTGAGCAGTTCGTAATACAGTGCAACTTGAAATAGCAGAATAATGGTTGATGCACCGAATAGGAAACACTATTTAACTTGAACAGTAGAATAATGGTCGATGCACCAAATTGTTCTGTGGTGGATTCTGAAGACTTACGTCGGGCTTGTCGAACTGAATAATTGCCAGAATATCAACTAGAAACTGCCACGCGGGACTGACTTCGTGGGAGTCGCTGAATATCTCCACAGACTGCTGAATTTGATCAGAATTGAAACAGCGAGAATACCATTAACACCGATATGGCCCGGGTGGTCCACCGACAAGAACAACCTCAAACTTGGGTAATTAAACTTCATTCAAGCATTAAACATGAAGAAACATCATAAACATGTTATTCGCAAAACCATAACACTTCTGAGGCAGTTTAGGAGGAACCGGCAACATTTCAGAGGTAATGATCAACAAGTCATGATGATAGAGGGCAGCGTAGGAATCGAAACAGCAATAGATGATGATGATGTGACAATTGGATGAGGAAAAAATGCGGCCCTCGAATTAAACAATGCGGCAATTGAATAAAAAGTAGCTTCAATGGGATAGCAAAATGACTTCGTTGTGAGGAGGACACAATTGCATACTGCGAGAATGAAATGGCCAAGTCAATCGAAAACAGAGTAACTGTCAATGACATGACAAAATGACATCGCCTTGAGGATGACACAAATGGGTACTGCGAACCTGAGATGGCCATGTGACATCATGAAAAAACACAACGAGCGCTTAAGTAATTATGACTGAATGGTGTATGAGTGAGAAAAACATGAACGATGAGAAAACATGAATGATGAGGAAAACATAAACGCGTGCTGAATTGGTAAGAACACAAGTGAATACATGAGAAGTGAATGAGAGAGTAAAATACTGCTCCTATGGACCAAGAGGCGCGAACTGGGTCTTCCGAGGAAGTTTGGGCTCATTTGAATACTGCGTATCGTAGGCAAATTTTCTGCGCGTCGACTAGCGCTCTTCATCATTACATAGATCACAAAGGGTCGATAAGTCGATACAGGTGCGAGATCGGGCACAATCGAGCACACTCCCCACGGGGCCCCTAGTCGTATCTCTTGTCGTGATGGTATCTCCAGTCGTCGATGATGGTCTGAAGATTTGTGCGTTCTTCAGGTAAATAACAGAGAGCGGTGTTATGATTGGTCATATGACAGTATTCACAAGATGTGGAGCATGAGCTGAATCCGGGATGCTGA